AGGTGTGTGTGTGTGTGTGTGTGTGTGTGTGTGTGTGTGTGTGTGTGTGTGAAAGAGAGAGAGAGAGAGAGAGAGAGGGAGGGAGGGAGGGAATGAGAATGAATGAATGTATGTTGGGAGGGGTGCTGTTTTTGAGGCCTGGTCTCATGTAGTCTAGACTGGCCTTGAACAGTCTTCCTGTCTGTCTACTGAATGGTAGCATGACAGGATGACTCGCCATGCAGGGCAGGCCTTTGAACCTATATTTGTATGGATTTTATCCCCAGAAGGTCAATTTCAGGCCATGTGTATTTTTCTGATGTGAATACTGACACAAACGAGCCATTTATTTATAAAGAATAATGTCTGCTCTATGGCTCTTTTCTGAGGACCTCGTCACAATAATGGTATATGCATACTTCTGTCTGGTTTTGGAAGCAGGGTTTGGCACAGCCCAGACTGGTCTTGAATTTGTGATCCTTGTGCCTCAGCCCAGTGCTGGAGTTACAGACGCATTCTGTGGCAGGCGTAGACCCTCTTATACAGCGATATAGTGTGGTGGCTGTTGCAGTAAGTTCATTCCATCATCACTCAGCAGCCTTGCGGCCATACTGTATTGTGCCACCTCCTTCACTCTTGATGATGGGCTGTTTCTTCAACAGATGTCCTCTGTACTTCTGGATACAGTTAGAAAACTTACGAGGCTAGCTGTTCTGGCAGTGTTCTATTGACAAGTAAAAAAGAGCCGGGCGGTGGTGGTGCACGCCTTTAATCCCAGCACTTGGGAGGCAGAGGCAGGCAGATTTCTAAGTTCGAGGCCAGCCTGGTCTACAGAGTGAGTTCCAGGACAGCCAGGGCTACACAGAGAAACCCTGTCTCGACAACCCCATTCCCACCCCCACCCCCAAAAATGAGAAAAGTAAAAAAGAAAGTCATTTGTATTTGCTTTGTTGATATGTGTGGGGATTGAAACCAGAGCCTTGAACTTACCAGGCAGTCTCAATCACTGAGTTTCATCTTTAAGATGGTCTCATGTAAAGTGGCCCAAGTGGCCTCTAATCTGTGATCCTCCTGTGTTAGCCTGTCCAGTAGCTACAGTGACAGGCTGTACTATCAGGTGGGTTTTTTGTTGTTGTTTTGAGACACAGTGTTACTACATAGCTTTGCCTGTTCTGGAACTCACTATATAGACCAAGTTGACCCCCAATTTAAGAGATCTATCTACCTCCTGAGTGCTGGGATTAAAGGTGTGTGCCATAGTGTCCAGCTTCCTTCCTTCTTTATCTGACTCCAGGGATGGCGCTCAGGTTGCTAGACTTGCACAGAGTGCCTATAACCACGGAGCCTTCTTACCAGCTAGCCACTTGGATTTTATGTTCACTTTTCCCCCCCTAAGACTGGGTCTTGCTATAGCTGAGGTTGGCTCTGAACTTAGCCTCCTCCTGCCTTTGCTTCTCCAGTGATTGGATAAAAGGCTCTACAGAAGCCTGGAGCTCACAGGGAAGCCCAGAACTTTGGATGTTCCAGCTTGTAAAAGACCTTCTCAGGATTCCTTTGTGAGGGTTTCCATGCCAATATTGTGGGACAAAGGGGAAGGCCATTTGTCCTCATTAGAGGAGCATTGGACCTCAGCTGTCCTTTGCTCACTCCTGCAGTCTTTGGAAGAAGACCCTGAGCACCTGAGACACAGCTGCAGGGCAGAGCTGGGGATCACAGCTGCAGGACATCCTGGTGCTGTGCTGAATCAAGATCAACTATTCCCACAGCCCTTGTACGTCCTGTTCTCTCACTCTCAGAGCAGGGGTCCCAGGGACAAACAGGCAGGTTTCTTAGCAGAACAGGAGTGCCTGGAACTGGGGGACATCAGACTGACCTAGGCAGGATTGTGTCCTGTGGACCAGGCCACTTCTCAGAAGCCTAGAGCTTCCCATTGCCTAAATCCTTAGTCTGCATTTGGGCTATGTGGACATTTATTACATTGCCTTCAGTACTTCCTGATTTTCCTGACATGCTTTACAAAAGACACCACCAACCACCCCTTTTCCCAAAGTCTTCACTATGGAGCCATCCTCGGACCTTCTCAGTCCAGAGCAGGGTGGATCCGAGCTTTTTGTTTCCTTCCATTAACTTGGCAGGTTTGGGGATTATAGAAGATGCTTTGTGATTCACCACTGTGCTCAACCTGAAGTGCCATATTGACCTCTGATGACCTCCAGACTATTCAGACAGGAAGTACTCTGCAGAATCAGGATTTATCTTTAGTGTGTGTGTTTCCGCCTGTCCTTGGCAGTATTGATCTTTCCGTTAGCACTCTTGTGTGATAACGACTGGCTAGGGAGCAAATCACCAAGCAGACATAGAAGCTAGAGGTGTGTCGGTAATCTCAGTCCTTGGGGGCCGAGGTGGGAGTGTAGATTCTGAAGTAAGCATGAGTTACCTAGCAAGCCCCTGTCTCAGAAAACCTAAGGAAATCCTTAAGAGTGCACGCTAGTCTGGAGAAGGACTGATTTTGATTACTGACGATGTGTCTGATTTGTGTTTGAGCTGTGCTCTGAGCCACACACTTTGTGGACAGTTCACAACTGCCTGCCTGTAGTTCCAACTCCAAAGGATCCAACACCCTCCTTTGGACTCTGGGTACCTGTACACAGACACTCAGGCACACATACATAAAGATAATATATTGAAAATCTGTAACTCCAGGAAATAGAAGGTTATACAAAAACTAGAAGTAGGCATCACGCCACATACTGCCTAGTCAACGACTGTAGTATGTCCAATCAGCCTGGGCAACAGCGTGAGGTCACGACTCAAACAAAACTCATGGAATAGCCTACAATGCCCATCACAATCAAAATCCCCCTGCCTCAGCTTCCCGTGCAGAGCTTATAGGTTCATGTTACTTTACCTGGGTCAAAGGAACCTTTCTTTTTTTTTTTTTTTTAGACATGAATTTTTCTGTGTAGCCTTAGCTGTCCTGGAACTAGTTCTGTAGACCAGGCTAGCCTCCAACTCAGCTCTGCTTGCCTCTGCCTCTGAGTGCTGAGATCTACAGTGTGTGCCACCACTGCCTTGCTAAGTAACCTATAGTAAACTATCTCAGGTATTTGCGCAAGAAGCCGGGTTCCAAATATGACGTTAGATACAACTTCTACTGGCCCGAAAATCTGACAATATATGTCTGACTTGTGTTTGAGCTCTGTTCTGAGCCAAGCACTTTGTAGGCAACTGCTTGAGTTAAAACAAAAAATGAGGTTTTGTGTGTGTGTGTGTGTGTGTGTGCGTGTGTGTGCATGTGTGTGTGTAAATACAGCTTGGGAGTTGCCAGTTACTAGCACAAACCTTGAAAAGCTGCATGTTTAAATCTGGGCCTTTGTCCTCCTCTGGGGAAAGGGAGCAGCAGAGGGCATAGCATGTACTGTGCAAACCTGATGATCTGAGTCCAGATCCCTAGAAACAGAAAAGCCAATGCAGTAGCAGCACAAGTGTACGTGACTCCTGTATCTACAAGGATTCAGAGCCTGAGATGGAGAAACCAGAAGCTGGTAGACCAGGTACCCTGGTGTTTACAGTGAACAAGAGGCCCCATGTCAAGGCAGAAGGACCCACACCCAAAGCTGTCCTCTGACCTGCATACATGCAGTGTAGCTCAGGTGTGCCCAGACACAGAGAAGAGAACAATGTGGGCCCAGTCCTCCTTCCCGAGAAGTTGGGAGCAGTGGTCCAAGGGTGCCCACCCCCGGATGAGAAGGGTGGCCTTAGTGTGCCCCCATCAGGAAGGAGCGAAGGGAAGTGCAAGTGGTCCTTCCTGAGGGCCAGCTGACCCAGGCAGTTCTTAGTGATGTTAGCTCTCTGTGGACTTGGGTAGTGTGCGGGTGGCTAACCGTGAGAAAGCTAGACAGACACAGCACATCCAGGCCCCAGATATAAACAGTCTTCAATTATTGCTCTTATTGGCTTGTCTGTCTTTTCACGCAAACAGCAGCAATGTTTGGTAAGTGGTTTTCATTTCTGTGACACTAAACTCTATACTGTTAACTCTACAGGATTAAAAAAGATATATTTCAATACATTTTATTAATATATTTTATACAATATATTAAATATATGTATCTCCAGCCATAGGAGAGATGGCTCAGCAGTTAAAAGCGTGAATTGTTCTTCCAGAGACTGGAGTTTGGTTTCTGACACTTGGATCAGGTGGCTGACAAGGACCCCACTCCCATTCGTAGTTGCCCTGGTCTTCTGTATATCAGCCCATACACAGATCCCTAAGTACATATAAAATTTACAAAGAGTGTGAGTGTGTGTGTGTGTGTGTGTGTGTGTATGCAAATCTGTGTGACTGCCAAGGGAGGCCAGAAGTCCACACATGCTCTCAACTGCTAAGCCATTCCTCAGTCTCCACTTAGGAAACTTTAAATGTCTAATATTTCTGGGATAGTTTCAGAACTAAAACATTCTCTTCAAATTTTAAGCACAGGGTTGGGAGTGTGGACCAGTGGTTGATATTCAGCTTGTGTGAAGTCTGGATTTGATTTCCAGCACAACAAAACAAACAAACAGAAAGGTAGATAGGAACACGGTAGAAATAGGAAACTCAGGTTGTCACCACAGATGTGACCGTAAAGTCCACTGGTTTACAAAACTCGGCTCCTCAGCCATTCTTGTTTCTGTCACTCAGTGAAGCGTCAAGATAGCTGGGACAGAGTAGCAGGAGGACAGCTGCAGCAGTGCCTGTGTCTGGAGAGGCTGCAGCAGCGGGAGAGTGATCTCAGGACCCTAAAAGGAGCTGGCCTTGAGGCAAACAGGTTCCACCCAAGTGACTGTCCAGCCAGTAGTCTGGAGCTCCAAGCCGTGGTCACAGGCAAGGTGGCCAGGGAGTCACAGGGCCCGGTGCCCTGTTTCAAGCAGCATGCTCTCCAGCTGTAGTTTGCTGTTGCTCTCTATGTAGGGCTGGTGCAGCCACATGGACAGGTAGGTCAGGCTGAGGTTGCGGTCTGCAGTATGGGCCAGCTCTGCACCAATGGTGTGCTTCAAAAGGAGCTCCTTCTTGTATGCTTCGGAGAGCCGCTGGGAGACCTCATCTGCAACAGAGCACACGCCACGGCTGCTTGAGAATGCACTGTCCTAACTTCAAGCCAGAATCAGTGCTGGCAATGGGACTCAGCTGGTATTTGCCCAGCATGCATGAAGCCCTAGGTCTAATCCCCAGTGCCCACAGACAGTGTGGTGGTGAGTGCTTACAGTGCAGCACTGGAAGCTGAAGCAGGAGGATGGGAGGTCCAGCAGATCAGAAGAGTGCTGAGATAAGGAAGGACCAAGCCAGTCTAGTTGGATGGTTACATGGTAGGAAGCACAAGGCCACACAACCCTTGCAATGTAATGGTGAGCCACTTCATCCAGACTCGGGAGTCGTGGAGGACTGAGGCAGGGGGAGTGATACGAGTCTGAGGCCTGCTTGGGCCAGTTCCGCCTAGGATAAATACTAAGACTGTTTAAAAAGGGAAACGGGACTGGAAAGATGGTCTAGCTGTTAGGAGCACTGAAGCACTTCCAGAGGAGTTGGGTTCAATTTCCAGCACACATCAAGAGCTCACAAGTCCATATGACTCCAGCTCCGGGGGACACAGACCTCTGGTCTTCATGTGTGTGTGCACACCCTCACACATACAAACAATTAAAAATAAAGTCAGTCTTTAAAAAATTAAAGCTGGCTGGTGGTGGGTGGTGGTGGCTCACACCTTTAATTCCAGCACTTGGCAGGCAGAGGCAGGCGGACCTCTGAGAATTTGAGGCCAGCCTGGTCTACAGAGTGAGTTCCAGGGCAGCCTAAATGACACAGAGAAAATCAAATCAAAAGAAACAAAACAAAACCAAAAAAACCCCCAAACTCCAATATCAAGTAGTTTAACCTCTACAAAGTTTTTCTGGCATTTTATTCTGTCTGTATGTGGGTATAACCCACGGTGTACACAATGTGTAGGTCAGCAGCAACTTTCAGTCACTGGTTTGTTCTATTATTAATTGTTAATAATTGTTCTATTATTAATGTGGGTCCTAGAGATCAGAGTCACGTTGTCAGACTTGGTGGCAAGAGCCTTTACCTGCTAATGTCAAAGTATTTTGTATTCACCTGATGTAATTGTCTCGGAGTCTTATTGCCTCTATCTGCTAACCTAAGGCCTGGTCCTGGAAGCTTCTATTTAGACTTAGAAGGCTGAAAACATTCTTTTACTCTGGCTCACTGGTTCGACTCAGCCGTTCTGGCTCAAACTCTCCAAGCTGACTGATTCAACCTGGCTTCTCTCTCAGCCTCTGACTGCATTGCCCCACTTGGCCTCAAACTAACTCTGGTAGAAAGTACTAATCTTCTAGTTCCTTCTCATTCTCTGGCTCAGTCTGCCTTCACCTGTGTCTAGTGTGTTTTCCAATCTGTCTCTGTAAAACTCTGTTGGTAAAACTGCCTCCTCTTTCTCTTTGCACTGGTCCTTAAGTAGCTTCCCTTTCCTCTCTCTCCTTGTGAGAGTCGGGCATGTCCTATTCGGTCAAATCTTTCTCTGACTTGTCACTTACCTGCCACTCAATTAGACTTCACTTTCTTTTTTTCTTTTCTTTTTTTGATTTTTCGAGACAGGGTTTCTCTATATAGCCCTGGCTGTCCTGGAACTCACTCCGTAGACCAGGCTGGCCTCGAACTCAGAAATCCACCTGCCTCTGTCTCCCAAGTGCTGAGATTAAAGGCGTGCATCACCACTGCCCGGCTAGACTTCACTTTCAAATATGGCTGCTTACCTCTAAAACTAACTTTACCTTCAGTGTTTGGGATTAGAGGCATGTGCTAAGGCTGAGCCACACAATAACTAGAAACAGGTTTTTGTTTGGTTGGTTGTTTTTCAGTAAATAACACAATCTCTGGGTTCACAGTGTGATCAAATATCCTGCAACATGCTGAACCATCTTACCAGCCTGTTTAGCCCCCCATTTGAGCCCAGGCTGCTCTTAAACTCACTGTGATCCTCCTGCCTCAGCCTCCCAAGTACTGGGATTATGAACTTGCATCATATGCTGGCTAGTTTATGTCAACTTGACACAAGCTAGAGTCACTGGAGAAGGGGAAGCCTCGACTGCTAACATGCCTTCGTAAGGTCTGGCTGCTAGGCATTTTCTTAAGTAGTAACTGATGTGGGTGGGTGAACTCTGGGCAGGTGGTCCTGGGTTCGATGAAAAAGCAGGTTGAGTAAGCCATGGGGAAGCAAGCCAGTAAGCAGCACCTCTCCATGGCCATTGCTGTCCTGTCTGAGTCCCTGTCCTGTCTGAGTCCCATCGCTGATGAAAATGATGTGGAAGCAGAAGGCAGGTAAACGCTTCCTCCCTAGTTGATTTCAGTCATGCTGTTTCATAACAGCAGTAGCATCCCTGCTCGGGAGACTGTCACACTAAATTTCACTTTTCTCAATGATCTTCTATGAGGCTGGCTGAAGTGTCCCCAGCTGACGGTTGATTGACTTTTTTAAAGACAGGCTCTCAGTTTATGGCCCAGATTGGCCTTAAATTGACAATCTTCCTGCTCTTGCTTGTTCACTACTAACTAGCATTATAGGAATGTATGTTACCAAATCTGTCTTCAACTTACTTAACTTTTACATTCATCTGCCCGCCATTCCTTCCTTCTATCCTTCTCCTTCCTTTCTTTCTTCCCTTCTTTCTTTCAAAAGGCAAAGGCCCTGTGTCCTTCTCTAAGCAATGCTGATGCCCCCCTTAGAACCACCTCCAGAGGACCTACTTACAAAAGAAGGCTGTGGGCCACGTGTGAAACAGAGGGGGCCGGCTGCTTTCTTCCCTGTAGTGGTAATTTTCTAGTTCACAAATTCCCTTGGTGGTTGAAGATAGCTTTTCCATTTTCATTTGTATTTTAGTCTGAAAAGATATTAATTTGAAATATGAGAACACTGTTGAGCATTTCTCATCTCAGAGTTAGTAACTATAAAGACTTGAAGGTTATGACGTGTAGTCCTGGTGGGGCTGAAGTTCCAGTATTCCCCCATGAACTCCACAGACGACAGATTTCCAGTGGCATGGAGACAGGTGGGAGTTGTGGTTTCATTACTTTGGTACTAAGCCCTGGGTTTTCACAGCCTCAGAGAAAGGAAAGCCTGCTTTGTCCCACCTCAGTAAGATTTCTGTGCAGCAGTAGTGTCTTAGCTCCAGAGACCTGGCGGAATCCCAGTGCTCTGCTGTTATAGAATGAAATAGAGAGAAAGGCACCCAGCAAGTGCATTTCTGACTCTCACGGAGCATTCGTGAGCCATACGGCGATGAGAATGAAAGGGAGCCTCATACGCACACAGGAGAAGCACCGAGAACCTGAACCCTGGGCCTCTACAGACCTCCCTCCCTCTGCTGCTGTGTCCTCTGCCAGCTCCCAGCAGGAGACAGCAGCACCTTCTCCACAGTGACCAAAGCATGACGGATGAAGGGTAGTGACGTGGGTCATGGAACACCTGGCTATACAGTGATCATTAAATAAATACTCAGAACTAACTAGGAATGTAGCAAAGGTTTGTTAAAGCTAAATCCCGACTCCTCAGTGCAGCAAAGTCATAACTCCTTGTACTCGACCCTCTCAACCATCTACCCCTGCTTTATCTAAAGCGGCACACACTACATTCAGCAAATGTTAGTCTTTAAAAGTCTCTCCTTCCTTCTCCAATCATTTTCGGTTCGATATTACCCTTGGCTTCACCTCCAGACAGGCTCCATGGTTTCCAATTGCAGCTGGGAAGATGCTCAAGGCTGAGGAGGCGGAGCCATGACTGGAGCTGTGCTTCTTGAACTCAACTCTGCAAAGAAGCCTGCACCCCACAGCAGCTTCTAGACACCTCCTAATTCTAGAAAAGCTTAGAAGGATTCAGAGAGCAGGGAAATCTGGAGGCCTTGACCCAGATCTGTAGCTTAGCCACCAACAGGGACAAAGTCCCGTCTGTGTGTGCTTTGCTGAGCTAACAGTGAAAGAGCAGCCCACACCACAGAGCAGCTGTAGTGTCTCCCACAGTAATGCATCACATGGAAATGGGGGTACATCTTAGGGGAAAGAGTATGCCCATCCCCCAAGACAAGATACTCGACCCCAAACCTCTTTAATGGCTGGGGAGAGAAGAAGAGCAGTGCTCCCGGCCTCCAATTGCAACTTTTGAGTTTGAACACTGACTGAGAATACATTTCCAAGCCAGTTTCAGACAGAGCCAAGTTCATCAGAGCAGGGAAGTTCTAACATGATGGCTAGCATGTAGAGCTTGCTTTCTCTAAGAAGATGACTTATTATTATTTATGTGTATGGGGCACATGGAGGCCAGAACTGGATACTAGATTCCCTGGAGCTGGCGTTAGAGACAGTTGTGAGCTGCTCAATATGGATGCTGGGAACCAAACTCCAGTCCTTTGAAAGAGCAGCAACTGCTCCTAACACTTGAGCCATCTACTCTAGCCCTACATACAGCTAACTAAACACGTTCTTTTTTTTTTATTATTATTTAAAGAGTTATTTATTTTATGTGCATGAGTACATTGTGGCTGTCTTCAGACACACCAGAAGAGGACATCAGATCCCATTACAGATGGCTGTGAGCCACCATGTGGTTCCTGGGAATTGAACTCATGACCTCTGGAATAGTCAGTGCTCTTAACTGCTGAGCCATCTCTCCAGCCCAGCTAACCACTTTCTAACAGGACTCTCCTATGCAAGGATCTAGGCTTCTTGGGAAAAAATGCTGATTCTTAGACAGAGATAGGAAATATGCAAAGTAAGTCTGGGACATCTTTCAGTGCTAGTCAGTAAGGAAATGTCAAAAAACTTCCCCAACAGAGCTTTACTGTGAAGATGGTATTTCAGGCAGAAGAACTCCTAATGCTTAAATGCAAACAAGCTGAACAGGAAATACAGTTGATCTGGACTACAACCTAAAGTAGGAACTGCTAGGTCCACACTGATAACAAAGACTGTGGCTGCTTTAGTGTTATATGGCAGGACCAAGAAGTCTCCATGATAGAAATGCTCTGGCCCACAAAATCTGAATATTCACTCTGGACCCTAAAGTGGCTGAAGCTGCCCAGGACAGTGTACTCAGCGGTGACTGGAGAGCACCAGGACTTGTTAGGTAGGTGGAAGGAAAGGCTTGGACGGAAAGGTCTCCAGCAGTTCTGAATGCCCCCACAGTCAATCAAACCCTAAACAGTGAAGTTGACGGCCAACATCTTTAGGTCTTACCAAGCCGTCCAAGATGGCCTGCAGCTCCTCACACAGTGCTTCCAGTCCCTTATCCAGACTTGTCTTTTCTTCCTCTTCACTGGAAGCTGGGCTGCTGCTCTCTAACTCAACCTTCTCCTTACTCCTGGACAGAGCAGAAGATAGTGGGTACAGATTACACTCATTACACTCACCTCACCCTAGGAGACTGCACAACTCTAATCCCAGTGCTGGAGGAGGAGGAAGAAGAGGAGGAGGAGGAGGAGGAGGAGGAAGAGGAGGAGGAAGAAGAGGAGGAGGAGCTTGGCTCCACAGTAGCCCTGGCCTCAAAAAAAAAGAAAACAAGGAAAAAGCCTTCACCTCACTTTGCTATAATAAACCCAATAAAAGCCATCATCTACACAATCATGTTAGATCTATTGCTTAGGTGTTGCAAAAGTCATTATAGTAGATGCTTATTTATACAGTTAAGGCCAGAACTGGGTACTGGATTCCCTGGAGCTAGAGTTAGAGACAGCTGTGAGCTGCTGGGAACCAAACTCCAGTTCTTTGAAGAAGAGCAAGTGCTCCTAACACTCAGCCATCTCTCCAGCTCTAGAGCTAAGAGGTTTCTAACAGGACTCTCCTGTAACCAGGATTCCGTTCACACAGTGAGCACATTCATTACTCAGCTTTGTTGTGTTTGGATGGAGCCACGGGCCTCCGTGTACACACATGCTCTGCTGCTAAGCTATCCCCCAGCCCTGGCCACTCGAGCTTGTACTAGGGCAAGTAAAGTCTGGCCACGTGGAATCCTTGGTGTAGGGCTTAATGCTGGTTGTATGAAATGCATATGACATGGGTCACTTCCCAAAGGGTCAAGAATCTGTGAGTGGTTTTTAGACTGAAGGCTGTGATCCATACAGTGTAGACAGCAAAGGCTTGATCAGCCTATGGTGCTGTTAGAAGGAAGTGCAACTCTTAAGGCCAGGCCTAGTGGGAAGGCTTCTATCCGTGTAGGGAAAGGGGTCCCTTCAAAAGCTTTGGGATCCCAGGATCTTCTCTCTGGCCTGACCATGACCGAGTGTGACCACCCACTATAATGTATGCCATCGTGTCATGTAAGCCACAAGGTGTGCACAGAAACCAGCAGTTAGCCTGTGGTGGCATTCCTCAGGAGCCAACTACCTTTTTTAAGACATGGTTTCTCATCACTGAGATCTAGGAAAACAGACTGGGCTGGGGTGGTGGCCTGTTTCTCCTTCCTCAGTGCTAGGATTACAAACACACAACAAAACGCCCAGCTTTTTACTTGGATTCTGAGTTCTGAACTCGAGTCCTCATGTCTGCATGGTGAGTACCTGGGAGTTCTCTCTCCTCCTTTGTCTTCTTTCTTTCTTTAAAGATAAGATTTTTTTTTTTTTAAAAAAAAAGATATATAGTCCTAGATGGCTCGAACATGCTTTATTGTATAGGCCAGCCTCAAACTCACGGCAATCCACTGCCTCTGCCTCCCAAGTGCTGGGACAGAGTGCATGAGCCACTATACTTGTTTCTTTTCTCTTTTTGACATTTATTTTTAATTTGTGTGTATGAACAGTTGTTTGTCTGTCTATCTGTGTGTATGTGTGCTATGTGTATGCAGTGCCCACAGAGACCAGATGAAAGCATCGGTTCCTGTATAGCTGTACTTACAGACAGCTATGAGCTGCCATGTGGGTGCTGGGAACTGAACCCATTTCTTTTGTAATAGAAAGTATTGTTTGTTTTGTTTTCCAAGGCAGGGTTTCTCTGTGTAGCCCTGGCTGTCCTGGAACTCACTCTGTAGACCCAGATGGCCTCGAACTCAGAGATCCACCTGCCTCTGCTTCCCAGGTGCTGGAACTAAAGGTGTGCGCTGCGCTGCCACCTAGTGGAAAGTACCCCACTGAGTCATTTCTCAAGTCCTCCCACCCCAACTTTGTCTTAGCTAGAGGGAGTGGCTCAGGGGTGAAGGCAGAGTCAGAAGCCGAAGGTCATCTCCCCTACATGGAGAGTCTGAGGTCTGCGGGGCCAGCATAAGTCCCTGTCTCAAAATGAATAGAGGCTGGAGAGGTGGCTCAGTGGTTGAGGGCACGTGCCGCCTTTTCAGAGCACTCCCTCGGAGAATCCCAACTGTCTGTAGCTTCAGATTCAGCGGACCCGACGCCCTTTTCTAGCCTCTGCAGGTGGTGCGGCTATGTGATGCACAAGCATACATGCATAAAAACACTCGTACACCTAAATCAGGAAGTCTGAAAGACAACAGCAAATACAGTCTGGAGAAAGAAAGCTGTTAAGAGCTGTGGCTGCTCTTCCAGAAGACCCAGGCTTGTTTCCAAGCACCCACATGGCAGTTCCCAGTTCCAGGGCAATACCCACTACTGACTCCTGTGGACGACAGACACTCAAGTGCTACACAGACAAACATGCCAGCAAAATAGCCACGTGTGCAAAGAACAAGGGACACAAAATGAAGTGGGTGCAATGGTACTCGTCTGTAGTTCCAACTCCTCAGGGAGACTGAGGCAGGAGAATCAGCCTGGGCAACACAGGTGGCTCCCACCACAAAATGGACATAAGCCAGATGTGGTGGTATGCACACGGAATCCCAGCACTCGGGAGACGGAGGCAGGAGGAGCACAGGGTGTTCAGGGTCAGCCTGGGGTAGTAAAACTATCTCAAAATAGCAACCAAATAAAATGAATAAAATGGAGGGCAAGAGGGATACCCACTTACCTGCCGCCCCACACTCCTGAAAGATAACAGTATCACGGACTCAACCCTTTCTCCTCGGTCAATCTCTTTATAACTTTATATACTAAACAATATGTAGCATAATTTTGTCTTTATTTTTACACTTATTAATGTGTATATAAGAATGGGCACATTTATGCCATGACTGTGCCCATGAAGGACAACTTGCAGCAGTTTGGCTGTCTCCTTCCATCATGTAGGTTTCGGGGACTGAACTCAGTCATTAGGCTTGGTGGCAAGCACCTTCACCCATTGAGCCATCTCTCTAGCTCAAGGTGTCGAACTTGTAATCCCACGGTCTCTGTCTTATCAGCGTGTCCTCCCAACAGTCAGCATACCCTTGCATATGTGCAGATATTACTCTGCTACTCTTTTGGCTTTATTTACACCAGGAAATTCTTACTCTCTTGACCGTCCTCCCAGTGGGTAGAGGTGACAGTACCTAGCATGGGAACTGAACATGTACTTACAACAAGCTGACTTTCAGGTTGGCAATACTGCTCGCCGTGGTGAAACCCTTGTCACTCAGGCTGTCCCATTTCAGGATTAAGTTATGCCAGTCAGCTGCATTGTCCTTAAGTTTTCTTGCACTGACGGATAAGACAGGTTTTCTTGGTGTTGCAATCCCAAGAGTCTTTGCTAATAGGAGCAAGAGAAACATGACAGTTAAGGAACACATGATCACAGGCCTCCATAGTAAAATGGTCTGATATGCCACACCAACTGGATAACTCAATGTCCCAGAAACTAAGAGGCTCGTCACAGCTCACGGCTCCACAAACACTTGTCTCAAACTGTCTACTTTTCTTTTTGGAGACAGGGTCTCAAATGTAGCTCTGGCTGGCCTTGAACTCACAGAGATCCTCCCACCTATCCAGGGCTGGATCAAAGGTGGGCACCATCACACCTGGCCTAGCACCTTGTGCACTTTAAGAGTTAGAAACAAGCTCTGACTTTCTACTAATACATCCACGCTTACCATTTTCTCTGATGATGATCTAGTCTTGACTCTTTATACTCCGACTATCTTGTACCTGGCACCTTGAACCCTTAAACTGAGATTTTGACTCCTGAGAGCTCATCACACCACAAGATTGAGAGAGTGGGACACTGGAGACGCAGAGGTGATCTTGCAGGCTGCTGCTGCTCTGCCTGTGACTTAGCTGTCCAAAGTTCTGCCAGCATCTCTGCTCCAGCACCTATCTTAACCCCCACCTCCAAGCCCGCAGAGCCAGGCAGAGCTCCTAGTGAAATACCCTCACTACCAAAAGCACAGCACACACAGTTCTCTGCCGGGAAGCTCCTTCCTTAAGTAGTGCTGTCCATCTGAGATTCACTCAACACAAGGCCTGAGGAAAACGAGACCAAGAACAGTGTGTACTGCCTTCTAGACTTAAAACCCTAAGTCATCATGCAGCTGAGAGGAATCCAGGACACATGGCAGCTGCATGCTCTGGGGTTATACCTTGAAGACCATGCTTCCTGGGTGTGAGTCCTACCTCTGCCAGCTGGGAGTGTAGGCATATTTGTCAATCTCTTGGAGCCTCAATATTCTCATCTGTAAAATGGTCATAAAGCAGTTTCTGTTCCAAAGTGGATACATGAGTTCAAGGCAGCCTAGTCTACATAGTGAGTTCTGGGCTAGCCAGGGCTACATAGTGAGACTGTCGAAGACAGTAAAACAAATATATAAATAATAAGTGAAGCTGCGAGGGCCGGACACATAACAACCAGTTAACAAGGCACACGACTGGTCCCCAAATCTGTCCTTCCTTCTCCACCGTGGCCTCTTAGCTCATTCTCTGCCTCTGCTGCTCTACTGTTCCAGCGTGGGTTGTGTTGACTGTTCGTGTGTGTACTCACTCACCCTGTTAACACAGTTTTGTTTAGTGCTCTGTGTTTTGGTTTGCTTTGATGGTATTGGAGTTTGAGCCCAGGGCCCTGTGGATGCTCCACTGGGGTACATCCCCAGCCCATATTACTGAGATGCTCTCACAACTTTCTTTCTGCCTCAGCCTCCCAGGTAGCCTGGGCTGCAGCCTGTTCAACCATGCCTGGATCCCCCAGTCACTGCAATAGATATGTTACCTCCTATTTACCGGCTGTCATCACATTCACTAGCGAGTCAATGTCTTTCTTTTTTTTCTTTTTTTTTAAAGATTTATTTATTTATTTTATTATGAGTACACTGTAGCTGTCTTCGGACACACCAGAATAGGGCATCCGATCTTATTATGGATGGTTGTGAGCCACCATGTGGTTGCTGGGATTTGAACTCAGGCCCTCTGGAAGAGCAGTCAGTGCTCTTAACCGCTGAGCCATCTCTCCAGCCCGCGAGTCCATTTCTTAATTCTGTATTTCACGCAGGACTTAGTTCAACCAGAGTAGGAGTTATGTCTCGTCCCCTCCCATATCTTGCACACATAGTAGATTTAGAATCAAACGGGCTACATGGAGGAACTGCTCTTACTTCCTGTATTACATTCGTCCTTCGGTGACTGTTCCTAAGTCACATCTGACTTAGTTTGCCGGATCCACTTAGGAACCCAAAGCAGAGCTCTGACTTCTAGACACTCAGAGACAAACAGGGAAATATGTGTAATGTGAGTCACAGGCCAGCTCGGAGAGAGGCACAGCAGAGGTTTAGCTGCTTTACCCTCTTGTAAGCTACCAAACCAAACTGAGACTCAAGTGACAAGACCACTGTCATACGCTAACGCACTGACCCATCTGACACTAATCGACACAGAGACAGCCTTTATTACAAACTGCGAGCCCCCGGCCGGTCTCACTGACTGCGGGAGTACAGGGAAGGGTTTCCCGAGGGGCTGGCAGGTCAGGCTTGGCTCCAATGTGTTCCGGGATGCTCTGAGCGCCACACCGTTGTCACTTCACGTACATCACCACACTCAGACGTCACTCACACGGGAATGAACAAGGCTCCCGGCAGCCCGCGAGGTCCAGGCGCGCCCTGCAGGTCACGCCGCGGGCTCATGACCTTCCACCCCAAACCTGCTTCCTGCAGCCTCTATAACTAGGGAAAGCACAGCCCTCTCACGCACCTTCCATGCGGTCCACAGGTAGATACCGAGGAGACCCGAAGCCCCGCCCACGGAGTGAGGAAGTGATGTCACTTCCGCTCCTCGGGTCCTCCGACACTTGTGGCTCTGCCGCTCTAGCTCTCCGCGGAGTCACTGCTGCTCTCTGAGGCCTAACCCGTTGCCTAGGCAACAGGCTCCCGGCAGCCCCTGCGGCCCGGAGTCCATCCCGCCTCCTCCGGGTTGGCGGGGCTGAGGAGTGCTGAGGGGCTGCCGCGGGAGGTGAGTTCGGTAGCGCGCGGGCGGGTGCTGGACACCTCCGACGTCCCCGACGCCGCCCCTCGCCTTTCCTCCCCCTGGCAGGGCCGCCTTTCCCTGTCTCAGCCCCTCAGAGTCTCCACAGCCGTCTTGCCGTGCCCCTGGCAGCCGCCGCACGCGGCGCGTCTGTCAGCCCGAGTCTGTGCAGAGCACCGGGCGTCGCAGCGTTCGCACACTGCCCCGGGGCCGCCCGGGCGCCCCAGCTCCCCTCGCTCCTCCCCTCCTGCCCCACCCTGCATCCCTCTCGCGGCGGGCTCCAGGCTCCTCCAGCCTTGAGATTGACATTGCGTTCTGTTCTGTCCTCGGATCCTCAGCCGGATCCCTTACGTTCGCCTACCAGCACCAAGCAGCTGGCTTGGGCACCCAGTAGGAGTTCAGTAAGTCTTGGTTCGATGGATACCGAATGCCTCCCAGTGTGGCCTCCGAGGCGAAATGGACAGTGAGGGTTAAAGAATGGGGTGACCCTGGGGTCAGACTCGAGGTCAGGTCACTGTGCTTCTCCTTCCTATCCGTTTACTGAAGCAAAGTGTCAACTTCCTAGCTTCAGTTTCGTCATCCGTAAAATGATAAGTTTTTTATCTTGGGATAGTGGAAATTAAATGGATCAGTGGATGCCCAACCAACCGTCCAGGGTCTGTCTGAATGATGCCAATAAAGGTTAGTCCCTGCTGTCACCCACGCGGCTCTGTGGGCTTCGCTGCTTTTTCCTGTAGTGCCTTAAGTCTCTGGCTTCCCGTTGCTTTCGTTTCCCTTCTCAACTCAACTTCACTTCTCTTTCCTGCCCCTTGTGCTTCCTTTCTTTCTCACCGATATTCGGGAGTTTTCTGTTCCATTTGTTGGCAGCATGTGAGGTGTATCGTTTTTGTCATTGACTGGAATGATCATTTGCAGCCAAGGTTTTAAAAACTTTTGGAGCAGGGAGTTGTGGGAAACTCAGGTCCTAGGTAAGAAGTAGCTCTTGTCCCTTATCACCAGAGACTCCTTGTCTTTGAAGCTGTAACACTTTTTGTGCTTACTCCCACCCAGCTGTAATGCTGATATACCTGTGACCATTTTGTTTGGTTTTGTAACCTGACTTACAGGTCATGTTTGTTCATTTACTGAGTATTTACTAAGGCTTTCCCTATGCCAGCGGCTGTGCCCTAGGGGTGTATGCTTACCTTTCATACCCAGTCACTCTCTCTCAGGAAGGTTGTAGTCTAGCTCTTGAGATTTCAAACCTGAGAATCCTGTTCATTTTTGGGACCCAAGGATGGGGAAGATGAAGTAAAGTCCTCCAGGGGTTTATTCCCTCCCCGCCCCCCCCCTTAAGTTTTAAAAATCGTATTTTATGTGAATGGATGTCTTGCCTCCTTGTATTTTGTGTACTCACATGTGTACAGTACCTACAGAGGTCAGAAGAGGGTATCAGATCCCCTGGAAGTGGTTAGCTGCCATCTGGGTGCTGGGAATTAAACTCTGGTCCTCTAGAAGGGCAGCCCTAACTGTTAAGGGCTAACCTACATCTCTAGCCCTAAGCAGTTGTTTTGATGTAGCCACATTGTCTTCCTCAATGGAAGACTGGTTCTTATTGGGTTGGTTTTTAGTTTTCCTTAGGGAAGTTATCTTTTTGGGTTGAAGAGGATCTCGATTCATAGTAGCTTCTATATAATTTAAACAAAATGGCTGCTGGCACTTAGTAGGGAGAAGGAAAGCAGACGGTAACAACAATCTTTTGAATTTAGAGAGGTGAAGAACAGGGTAGGAGATGGTGTGCTAATAAGAATGGCCATTAGGGTCAAGTGTGGAGACGTTTCCACTAGGATTGACACAGGGAGTGTGGTAGAATCAACAGGCAGGAATTAGGTAGTGGGTTTTTGATTGTTTGTTTTGTTTTGTGTTGTTGTTGTTGTTTTCTAAGACAAGGTTTCTCTGTTGAACCCTTTCTAGTTGAGGCTGTCCTGGAACTCAGGCTGGCCTTGAACTCAAAGATCCTGCCTGCCCCTGGCTGGAACTAAAGGTGTGCGCCACCACACCCAGCTTGGTGGTGTGTTTTCTGGATTGTTGAGGCAGAAGCAAGTTCAGAATGTATGTTTCCCATGAGTGAACCCTTTGGATCTGGTCATGAGAGTTCCAGTGAATCTTTGCTGTGGTCTTGGGGCAGTGTGGCATAGTATTTTGTTTGTTTTCTTTTGGGGACAGGATCTTAGTTGAAAGCCCAGACTGTCCACAGACTTGCTAAGAGCCTCCTGAGTTCTTGAATTATAGGTATGCATCACCATACCTGGCTCAGCACAGAGTTTTGAGAGAGATTAATCCAACAAGTATGTGTTGAGTGTTGATTTACTGTAGCCTATTAGTTGTTTGTATTAGTAGTTTGTCAGAGGTGAGGCTTGGCAGAATCTTGCTGTGCAGACTTTGATTAGCTTGTAAACTGTCAGTGTAGGGCAAGCTGGTCTTGAATTTATGGCATTCATCTTTCATCCTTCCAATGCTTCCATATCCTAGGACTCGTTTAGGGGACCAGCATGATGCCTTATTAGGTAAGGGCACTTGCCTGGCAAACCTGGTAACTTCAGTTTAATCCTGGAACCCATGTAAAGGTGAACAGAGAAAACTGACTCCATAGTGTTGTCCTCTGACTTCCACATGTGTCATGGCACATACACACCATGGCACAAATACACTTATACATCTACCACACACACACACATTAGCAATAAAAAAATAAAAATTTAAAATTTGCAACTGGAGCAGAGAATATAGATGGAGATGAAGTTAGATACAGAGCTTTGTTCAGATGTCTGGTTTCTTTTTGTTTGTTTGTTTGTTTGTTTGTTTTGTTTTGTTGTACAAGACAGGGTTTCTTTGTGTAGCCTTGCTCATCCTGGAACTTGCTCTGTATACCAGGCTGGTCTTGAACTTAGAGATCCCCCTGCCTCTGCTTCCTGAATGCTGGGATTCAAGGTGTGAGTTACCACCGCAAGGCTCAAATGTCTGGTTTCAGTGCTTGGACTGGGCTTAACCCGTGAACATTTGACTAGCCAGCAGGAATGAGAGCAGGGAAGTGACAGCATTTCATCAGTAAGGTCAATCATTCCCTGTCCCTTTCCATTCTACTATAACAACACTTCATCTGCCGGGCATGGTGTTGTATGTGTGTACTCCCAGCACTCATGAAACGGAGCAAGAAGATCCTGGGAGTTCTAGGACAGCCAAAATTACAGTGTGAGACTGCCTCAAATGAGTACATACTTAAAAGTCCAAATAAAGATAGATTGTAGGAGCCAGATGTGCTTACACTAAATAATTTCAGCAGACTGTGTGTACGGACTTACACATAGAAGTAACAGTTTCAATTAAATAGTAAGGAAGGGGGATGGAGGTGTGGCAGGCATGAAAGTCTGCCTGTGATCCCAGCACTGTGAAGTTTGAGGACCATGGGCCAGACTGAGACTGTCTTAAATAAAAACTGCAGGAATACTAATTGTCATTTTTGTATTGCGTTTGGAGAAGGTCCTTGGGATGGAAATGTTATCAGAGCCTGTGGTGACATGTGATTTGGGTTCCAGGTTACTCCTAGGTCTAGTTTTGGGAAGTGCTCATTACCATAGTGGTTGGACGTACTCTACCTTTCATATACTGGTTTTGTGTGTGTCACCTGTATGTGGGCACCTATGGAGGCCAGAAGCGGGTGTTGGAGCCCTAGAGCTAGAGTTACAAGGAATTGTGAGCCTTCAGAAGTGGGTACTTGAACTCAGGTCCTCTGGAAAGAGTAGCAAGCACTTTTAAACATTGATCTGTTTCTCTCTCCCTTTTTTTTTTTATTAAGATTTATTTATTTATTTCCCTGTTCCTTTGAATTCTACTATAACAACACTTCATCTACTGGGCATGGTGTTGTATGCGTGTACTCCCAACACTCATGAAACTGAGCAAGAAGATTCCTGGGAGTTCTAAGACAGCCAAAATAACAGTGACACTGTAGCTATCTTCAGACACACCCAAAGAGGGCATCAGATCCCATTACAGATGGTTGTGAGCCAACATGTGGTGGCTAGGAATTGAACTCAGGACCTCCGGAAGAGCAGTGTTCTTCACCACTGAGCCATCTCTCCAGCCCCTTGATCTGTCTCTCTTGCCCACATCTTCTGTTTTTAACTCAACTTTTGCATTTTTAACTGAAATACTCACAGCCAAGGAATCATTGCTTATATATTTTTAAATTTTATTTATATGCATATCTGTCCCTTGTCTGTATATGTACCATGTACATTCAATGCCTGCAGAGGCCAGAAGAAAGCGTCAGATCCCATGGCACTGGAGTTAACAGGCAGTTGTGAGCTGCTCTGTGGGTGGGTGCTGAGAACCAAGTCCATGTGCTGTGGAAGAGCAGTAGTGTCTCAACTGCTGAGCCATCGCTTCGGCCCTAGCATTTCTTAGCTTAAAGACTGGAACAAAAGGACTGAAGTATATATAACACAGTAGTAGACCTCTTTCCTAACAAGATAAGAACAGAGAGAAAAACAGAAGCGGGGAGGGCAGAGGGAAGGGGATTGCCTTGAGATTGTTCTTTTGCAATAAGACTAGAAGTTAACATTTTATTCATTCAACCACTATTTACGGACATGTACTCTATGCTAAGAGAGGATTGGCATCCCTTCTCACGGAAGAGGTTAGTAGCAAGTGAAGACTTGGGTTGTGGTGAGAGTCATGACGGGCATGATAGAAAGGGAAGCTCGGACACTCATGATCTGGCCTGGAGAGGCTCTGGAGTGATAATGTTCCTGCTGAGGCCCCAGAATGAAAAGCCACATGAAGGAGATCCTTCTGAGAAGAGGGAAGGTGAACTGTGAAGCCTGAGTGTGGAGAAGGGGTCCTTGGCATCAGTATGTGGAGCGCCCATGGAGGTGAGCAAGAGGGAGGAGCTCTGGACTGGTGAGCACCAGGGTTTCAGCCCCAACAGCGCTGGACTCAGAGTCCGGCTTTGGTGCTATTTAGAATTGTACTCTCCTTAGCATTCAAAAGTTAATTTTGGTAGAATTATTACATCACCACAATTACAGGTGTGTGTCACCACATGTGGCTTATTATCGTAACCATTGTTAGATGGGTAAATGGCAACCTAGAGCCATTACATAATTTCCCCAGGGTCCCCAGCTACTCTTAGGATAGCATTGGGATTTAGCTCTCATCCTTTTCCCTCTGATGTCATTAGCCACCGAATATGCTGCTGCTCTTCTACTGCAGAGAGCCTCCGATTAATTCATGGCAGTGGGTCTAAACCTGAGGTACAGCAAATGCAGCCTTCAAACTTGTGGAAAAATTGGGCAGGCTAGGGATGCAAAAACACTAGTCAGGAGTGGCCATTGAATCTAAATAGTTTTCCTCAAATGTCTCACAAGATAGGGAGGCAGCCGCTCTTCATTTCTTTTCAGCTTTCTGTGGGCAAGTTTTGTTACAGTCAGCTTTAGCCCTTTCCCTGTGTGACTACTGAGTGGAAGGCGCAGACCTGGTTCTGAGTAACCCAGAACCACACCTAGTGCTGTGACTTACTGACCTCTCCGTGTCCTTTAGGAAAACATGTTTAAAGCAAAGATTATTATGACAGCTGTGGAAAACAATTTGACAATGCATTTTAATATTTTCACTTCTTGAAATCCTTGTTAGCCGGGCGGTGGTGGCACATTCCTTTAATCCCAGCACTTGGGAGGCAGAGGCAGGCGGATTTCTGAGTTCGAGGCCAGCCTGGTCTACAGAGTGAGTTCCAGGCCAGCCAGGGCTACACAGAGAAACCCTGTCTCGAAAAACCAAAAAATAAAAATAAAAAAATAAAAATCCTTGTTAGTATTGTTAATTCACATCCACTGGACTAGCCTTTTTCTACTTTTTAAATATTTCAAAGGGTCTGGAGAAAGAGCATAGCGGTTAAGAGCACCTGTTGCTCTTAGAGGAGACTTGAGTTAGGTTCCCAGCATCCATCTCAAGTGGTTGTGAACCACTTGCAACTCTGAGTCCAGAGGCACTGATGCCCTCTTCTGGGCTTCAGTGGCACTTGCAATATAATTAAGAATTAAAAATAGGGACTGGAGAGATGGCTCAACAGTTAAGTACTTGTTGCTCTTGCAGAGGACCTGAGTTTGAGTCCCAGCATATGGTAGCTCATAACTGTCTTGTTATTTCAGTTCCAGGGAATCTAATATCTTCTTCTGGCTTCTGCAGGCACAAGGTATACACATGGTACACAGACATACATGCAGGTATAACACCCATACCTATAGTGGTGGTGGTGGTGGTGGTGATGACGATGATAATTTTTTTTTTCGGTTTTTCGAGACAGGGTTTCTCTCTGTAGCCTGGGCTGTCCTGGAACTCACACTGTAGACCAGGCTTGCCTCGAACTCAGAAATCCGCCTGCCTCTGCCTCCCAAGTGCTGGGATTAAAGGCGTGCACCACCACTGCCCGGCAACGATAAATTTTTAAAAATAAAAACTGTTTCCAAGAGTATGATTGGATATATTTCTGTGTGGTTTATGATGGTAAAATCAAACATTTAAAAGAGAATTTTAGTGATCCATATAATGCATTCTTGGCTTTTGTTGTTATTTGTGCTTTTGAGCCAGTGCCCACAAGTAGCCCAGGCTGGTCTGCAGCTCTCTTTGTAGTCCTCACTGGCCTCTAACTGGGAAGCCTCTCAGGCTCCGGGCTGTCATACCCTGCAGTGTTCTTTTTACTCCTGCTCCTTATTTTCAGAGCCCTGTGCTCTTACTTGGTCTACCTGCTTTGAAAAGTAATAGCCAGTGGCTAACTGGCTTTGTCTGCCAGCCGTGCCATTTGCATCTGCTTGGATCTTGTGGGTTTATCCACTTTTCTAGGGTGCTTGTGTAGTCTGATTCAGAGAACAGGCATCTCCTAGTCAAAGCTGTGTGGTCCTTGTAAGGCTATTCATTTGTGATGTGCTGGTATTTTAGACAGTTCAGTTCTCATAGTTTGGATTTCTGTTGTATTAGTTCTGTGGCTTGGACAGATTTCTGAACCTTTCAGAGCTTTTGGCTTCTATTAAGAGAATATGTTCCAGTTAGGTCCCTAACAATCAAGGATGGAGTTACAATTATTATTGTCATTATTAGTTACTTTCAGGATGTTTCTCTACAGTGGACCTTTACTGTATTAGCTGTTACCATGTGTGGAAATTATATCTGCATTTTCCCAGCCTTGAGCTTTCAAAAGCTATTTGATGCAGCTCCATTCCTGTCACTCACTCTTTGCTCCTCTGTTATCCTTTGTCATCATTCATTCATGTGCTTGGTACATACCTGCCCAGTGCCGCTGACATCCCAAGCCCTTTTCTAGATGCTCTAGGGGAGCAAGTGAGGCATTGTGGCCTCTGCTCTCTCTCTCATGGGGTTTATAGACCTGTGTGTCTGTGCATGTACACATGCATGCACATGCTTCCATGTTCAGAGAATATAGAGAACATGTAGACAAAGCAAAGCAGGTGGCATGATAGGAGTGCTGAGCTGGGGTGAGTGGTTAGGTGAGATCTCGTGTAGGACGGGCATTTCAGCAGAAGCCTGGTTGTTGAGGCCCTTCTTTGTAGCAAAAGCTGAATGGCACTTAGATCATTCAAGGCACTCAGATGAGAGTGGGTTTGATGAACCTAATCAGAAGAAGACTAAGGACTCAGTCACTCACGCGTAGAGTACTAGAGAACTCACAGTTCAAAGGGATAGTGAATTGAGCATTCCAAGAAGTTACTAAGCAAGGCTCAGAAGGCCTCGTGGAGCCTGTGCTGGCTAATTTTATATCAACTTGACACAGCTAGTTACTGCAGAGGAGAGAGTCTCAATTGAGAAAATGTCTCCGTAAGATCTGGCTGCACATGGGCCGTAAGGCACTGATTCTCTTAGTGATAGGTGGGAGAGGGCCTTGCCTATTGTGGGCAGTGCCACCCCTGGGCTGGTAGTCCTGGGTTCTATAGGAAAGCAGGCGGAGCAAGCCATGAAGAGGAAGCCAGTAAGCATCATTCTATCTTTGCTTCTGCCTCCAGGTTCCTGGCCTGCTTGAGTTCCTGTCTTGACTTCCTCAAGTGATGGGCAGCAGTGTGGAGGTGTAAAGCAGATAGGTCTTTTTCTCTCCAGTTTGCATTTGGTCATAGTGTTACAGAAGTAGTAACCCTAACTAGGACAAAATCTGAAGGTGTAAACTATACCTCCAGGTTGAGTCAGACAGATTATCAACGTGTACCTGTTGGTTATATCAGAGCTGTGTTCAAGGCTCAGCTCTGGGGTCCCACTGGGTCTCACTTCAGTACTTTCTTCTGAAAGTTGAGGAAGAGGCTACCCACGTGCTAGGGCAGAGTAAGGCTTAAATGAGTGAGTGAACTTTGTTAAGTACCAGGTGCTGGTGTGGGTAGAGTATCTTGATTTAATTCATGGAAGGGCAGGTGGGAGCTGCAAGGTGACTGGGTTCCAAACACTGAGGTGGCTATGGGACCTGCTTTTTCACCAGATATTAACAGGGGAGTTCATTTTTCTAGACTGGGCTTATTGTTCTAATACAGGTTTTCTCCTGTGTCTTGCTCAGACAGGTAGACTGTATTATTGGATGTTTTCAGTAGAACTGAAAACTTCTTTTGGCTAGGCATGTGTTGCAAAGAATTTTAAAGCTGTGTTTTTTTCTTAATTAAGAAAAGTTGGAGATTATTTTGTTTTTGAGTGTTTTCACTGTAGCCCATGCTGACCTGGAACTCACTGTGTAGCCCAGGCTAAATTTGAACTTAGAGCAATATTCTTGCTGCATTCCCATGAGTTCTGGGATTACAAGCATTCTTCTACTTATCTAAGAAGATTAAAATGAATTTAGCCGTGATCTTTGTGACTTTTTGTTTTTGTTTTTTGTTTTTTGTTTTTTTGTTTTTTCGAGACAGGGTTTCTCTGTGTAGCTCTGGCTGTCCTGGAACTCACTCTGTAGACCAGGCTAGCCTCAAACTCAGAAATCTGCCTGCCTCTGCCTCCCAAGTGCTGGGACTAAAGGCGTGTGCCACCACCACCCTGCCTTTGTGACTATTTAGGCAAGAGAGACAAGTGCTTTGGAAAAGGACAGTACAGTGGTAGTCTTCTCAGGAGAGGCCTGCTCCTGGTTCACTTCAATTCACACTAATCATGCATTTTCTCAAGGAAACCCAGAGTTAATTCCTAGATATCTCTCTCTCTCTCTCTCTCTCTCTCTCTCTCTCTCTCTCTCTCTCTCTCTCTCTCTCTCCTCTCTCGTTGTTATTGTTCTTCCATTGGCCTCTCTGGCTAGATCATAAACTCCTTGTAAGAACTGTGCTTTCTGCTTTTCTGTTTCACCCTAGCGTTGTGGGAGCTATTCCTAACTGCAGTGCACGCGAAACTCAAATGCTGAAGCTACCTCACGTCTCGCTTTCTCTGCTTAAGCTTTAGCCAGAATTCCTTTTTTAAAGGTTAAATTTTATTTTTCATTCTTATTTTACTATTATTATTTCATGTGTATGGGTTTTGCTTGCATGTAGATCTGCACATGCTTTGCCCGTGGAGTTCAAAAGAGGCCAAAAGAGGGCTGGAACTGGAGTCAGTGATGATTGTGAGCCGTAATGAGGGTGCTGGGGATTGAACCTGGGCCCTCCGGAGGAGCAGTCAGTGCTCTTAACCACTCAGCCATTTCTGTCACCCCAATTTATTTTATTTTTACTTTCATGTGTATGCCCATGTCTGGATGAGAATATGTGCATGTGAGTGCAATGTGGGTTGTGGCCAGAAGAGGGCGTGAGTTCCCTGGGAGCTGGAGGTCAGGAGGTAGTGGGCTGTCTGACACAAGTATTCTGCAAGAGCATTATTACATGCTCTGAACCATTAAGCTGTCTCCTCGGCCCCTCCAGCTATGATTTTATCTGCCTGAAAATATCATGTTCCCACTATTAAACATTATTATTTTTTGGCATGGCTAGGCCTGAAAGAGTTACAATGCTGTATTCTGTAGCCTGCAGGTTTCCCTAGATGACAGATAAACATCATACTGTCTGAAGAACATCTGTGGAAACCTTGACCATGGCATCGATATCAGAGCCTGTAACATTCCGAGAATTCTGCCCTTTGTACTATCTCCTCAATGCCATTCCCACAAAGATCCAGAGAGGCTTTCGTTCTATTGTGGTCTACCTCACAGCCCTGGATACCAACGGGGACTACATTGCGGTGGGCAGCAGCATCGGCATGCTCTACCTGTACTGCCGACACATCAACCAGATGAAGAAGTACAACTTCGAAGTAAGTCTGCTTGTCTTTGCCTCTGACAATGTACCAGCTGTAGCTGCTGTTTTTACTGCTAGGGTTCCAACTGTTCGACATGGCATACTTTACCTTTGACTTGCTAGACTCCAGCATCGTACCTCACTCAAGCAATACCTGACTATCATCTTCAGCTAAATGTAATATAATATAACATAACATAACATAATCAGCATCTGTATCTTACTAAGTATAGAGCTCTGATCTTTGTTGATTTTTTTTTTTTTTTTTTTTTTTTTTTTTTTTTTTTTTTTTTTTTTTTGTTTTTTGAGACAGGGTTTCTCTGTGTAGTTCTGGCTGTCCTGGAACTCACTCTGTAGACCAGGCTTGCCTCGAACTCAGAAATCCGCCTGTCTCTGCCTCCCAAGTGCTGGGATTAAAGGCGTGCGCCACCACCGCCCGGCGATTTTTTTTTTTTTTGAGACAGGTTTTTTCTGTATAACCATCTTGGCTGGCCTGGAACTCACTTTGTAGATCAGGCTAGCCTCAAACTCACAGAGATCCATTTGCCTCTGCTTCTTGAATGCTGGGATTATAAATGTGTACCACCAAACCAGGCCATAGCTTTAACCTTAAAAACAAAAACAAAAAACAAAACAAAAAATCCTCACTATGTATGTAGCCCAGGCTAGCCTAGAACTCATAATCCTTATGACTTAGTCTCTCAAGCATTAATATTTCAAGCTTTTGAAGCTTTGCCTGGTGAATATGTTGTTTTTATGAGACTGAGTTTGGTTTCTACCATGCAACCTTATGGCACTCTGTCATGTCTGTGGTTAGAGGGCGTTGGAGGACTAAGGCAAGACTTTTAGGTCTAGAGTATAAACTCTTGTTTTAATCAACATAAATATTATAATTTTGATATAAAATTGGTTTTTTAAAACTTAAATAAATCTCCACATATGTATTTTTTTATTTTAAATTATATTTATTTGTTTATTTATTTTCATGTGTATGTATTTATGAGTCAGTGGAGGTCAGAGAACAATCCAGGGGTCCATGCTCTCCTTCTCCCATATCCGTCTAAGGGGATTGAACTCATGCTACCCAGGCTTGGTGAAAAGTCCCGTGGCCTAGTGTGCTACCTCACCAGCACCCCCTTTTTCTGAGGTCCTGAGAGTAAACCCAGGGCTTTATACATGCTAGGCAAGCACTCTACCACTGAGCTACATCTCCAGATTTCTATGTTTATTTAAAAATAACAAAAATGATTAGCATTCATGTGGCTGTGCTACAGCAGACACTATTGGATG